AATACAAACAGTCTGTTTTGCAAGAGTGCATCACCGCAGTACAAATATGATGACAGTGCCGGTGAAGAATATAAGGGTATAGAATACTAAACAAATAGAAGACCGGGACTCCTGGATTTACGCTACAGAAGTCAACGCACGGCTAACGACATTTGGTCACAAACAATTGGCAATCGTTCGAAAGGAAGCGGAATCGGTGAGAAGGTTTATTTGCACCGCAACCTAAGTGGTCTTACGGTTTCGTATCCGCATCAACCAAGCAAGCCGGCTAGAAAACACATCGTGGAGTTAACGTAGAGGCTTCGGCTGCCATCCCAAAGTCTAGCGTCCCAGTCGCAGGGTCCGGCAATCTCTACCTAACGGGTGCAAATAAGCAAGCGAACAGTCAAGGGGTGCAAGACTGCAGGAGGACAACACATGACAGTTATCTGCGCCAAACAAGGATAGAATTGCTATAGACTCGACTCAAACGGAAAAACCGTCCAAATTGGCATTTCGTAACGCAGTCTATTCACACAATGAATGCTCCAAAGTGACCACTAATAAATTAAATGACGGATCTCAGTGATGCACAGTGGGGGCTCCCACCAGATGTGCGCAACATTGCAAGGGGTAAATGGAAGATCTGCTTTCAATCACCAGACGACGGACCGCCTCGATGTTTACAAGTAGCAGTGTTCCAATGAACTCCGGTTGTCTTCAGCGTGCAACAATCAAACCTTCGATCCAGAAAGTAACAATGGCAAGATTTTGCACTCTTCGGGTAACCAATAAGCAAACATCATGCCATCTCCGAAAGTGGTGAATGCTTTGGAGAGTGAAAAAAGCTGTAGCAATTTTAGTAGTAACCCTTTAGTTGGTATGTCCGTCAGAAGTGACACAGCTGTCCAGACACGTAACAAGATCGATCACTTCAGGCGGTTGTTCCGTGACAGTGAGAATTGACGGTGGGTCAGGGCAATCATGTAACATTACTTTGAACTGAAGACGAAAACATATGCCAAAGCGTGCAGTGTTATGCATCCGTGTAGGCAGTTAAGTTTGCATAGCTGCTGGGTCTGACTCAAAGAGAGACATATCACCTGTGTACTCCAATGATAGCAGCTGATAGCCCAATAGGAGACAGAATAAGCCACAAGAGAGTATTTCGATTATATAGTTAAAGAGAGGGGGTGTGATAAACCTGACATCATCCGTCTGTCGTTGTAATTTCAGGATCTGGTCCCACGTTGGGCTTTACATGTCTTAGATGACCATGATGTACATTTGAGAAAACAAGGAACCTCAAGTAGGCATGTAGGTACATTTATTTATTATATAGAGTCTGTGGTACAGGTATTGTGCCATCGGAATCGTGGCTGAATAGGAAAACAGTATGAATAAAATAAGAAAAGAGCAACAACAACAAAAGCTATGTTTGGTCTAGTTTACTACTCACAGTTTTTGAAATTTTTTTTAGTTTGTTCTTTTTTAGGGGGAGGAAGAAGGGACACCGGAACACACCGATGAACACGTCCACCATTGACATCAATCATGAGCCATGGTTTCCAAGGTCTTCAACCAGCAAGTATCCGCATCTCTCGGACCCCAACCAGGTAGTCGACAACAACCGGCCGAGGCCAATTGTTTCGTCAACTTTTTCATGCGGCTTCTTCATGTTGTAGGCTGTCCACCAGACCATCTCCTTCAGTCCTGTCCAGCAACCGCAAACAACGCACAACGCGGATAACGCTGGACAGGCATGCGCAATACATGTCCAACTACCGCAGTTGATGCAGTGAGACGAGCTCCTCGAGTGAGTGGCTTCCACGTCCCAAGACACGCTGTCTAACTTCCACATTGCTTATGTGGTGCTGCCACCACACACGGGCAATGGACCGCAGACAGCGGTGCTCGAAGACGGATAGCCTGCGCAAGTCATCTTTACGAATGGGCCAGGTCTCGCATCTGTACAACAGTACAGCACGAACGGTCACACAATAGACCCGCCCTTTGATGGAGACACGAATGTCGTGGAGACATTTAGCGGAACTAGAGGCTATGTTAAGGCCACAAGCTGTTAATGAACGATGTGCACAGGTGGCTGACAGCGGGAGCCAGTCGAATGTACATAAAATTACTCTCACGAGTATTGCTAAGTCGTGGCATCATAGCGCACTCGAGGTGGCCAAAATAGGATGAACAACACGGTTCCCAGAGAGACATGCATTGGTTCATATAAAGACAGGAACGACAAATGAAAACCGGGTTGATTAAAGGTTAGAGGTCAGACAAACTCAGTACACTGGCCCTCAAGGTTAGGGTTTTGAAAAGTGATAACATCCATCTCTGTAAAAATAAATCATTGCCACCACATCGCTGCCTTACGAACCGGCTTTTGACCCAAAGGGTTTGTCTGAGGATCCTAATCGTCATCCTGTCTAAATTTGGGCGCAGAGGTAGTAACTCAGCCCAAAGACACCCAAGACAATTGAGCCAAAGTTCAACCATATCCTGCATCAGCCGTCCCGTAGCTTATCAAGGGTCTCCTCATCCGTTGCATACAACATCACTGGTAACCGAAAACATACTACCATTGGCGCCTCCCTTCTTTCTCTTACTCTCCTCCCAACTCCATTGCAAGCCTAATTGATAGCAGCCACAATGCCACTGGAGTCGAACCATCTGCAGCCACCTTCCCGCAACACTGAGTGAAAGACTATGGGCGGAAGCCCCTTATAAGGCCACGCTGTCCCGTTTCCCTGACGGCGTTCAACGTTCGTACTGTAAGCCAAATAAGCCAACAGACTGCACACGCACACAATGTTGTTGGGGTGGCTCTATCAACCCTGAATAGCCTATCAAGAGTAGTCAGATAACCTGGCATGCGCTTCGTACCTCAAAGTGCAGTGTTGTTGCAGGTCCATCAGTCACTTGATGACCCCAGTGCGTTCCGTAGCAATGAACCCGAGGTAATTGATTAGTCCACTTATGTTAGCAGCTGCATCAGCAACGATGGGTGTACAGAAACTCAAGTAAGCTCACGCATTGCAAAAGTCAGAACTGCCTTCTTGAACCTGCGGTATCTTTGACATCAGAGGGAATTTCCCATCGTCTGAAAGGATATGTTTACAAGACCCCAATGAGGGCCGCTCTGAGACTTGACCCCTTCGACCTGAAGACCTGCGGCGCCTTCAAGTTTTTGAACATCGTTGTCTGCGAAGCATTGCTGGCGTTGTGTGGCACCAGCATGATTGTAACGATGATATGCGTGGGCAAGTATCAACACTGGTAGCCGAGCTAGTTCCTTAGAACAACAGATAGCACTGAATAAGTTACGTTGGCATAGGCACGCACTATGTACACCCGGTCACTGCTTACGGGAGAGGGCTTTGTTTTGTGTATCAGATGAAGGGTGGTGAGTGCCTCGAGGTGGACAAAAGTTGACTTGGCAGCGGGAAATGAAATCACTGAAGACCAAACTTGGTGTCGTCAGGCTGTTTCGCCTTCTAGGATGGAATCCACGTGACCCGCCTTGTATTTGCATAGAGAATTTACAGGATATGGCTCGCAGTCGACACCAGTGGCGCGTCTGCTGCTGTCCCTTAATCGGACTGACTGTTTAAAGTGTGTTTGGTGCTGAGTTATCTGTGGGGTAATGTCTGGCTATGATGCGGTGCAGTGAACGCCGCAAGGAAGTTGTCTAGCCGATGCCGCCTAATTTATGCCTTCTGCTAACTTTTACTACCTGCGCTATGAATTCTGCACTGATGATGTCACCTTAAACGGTGAAGAAACGTCTGCAATCGAGTTGCCCAGCTCGGTGAACACCACAACACCTAAACGATAGCTGGTTGTTTGTGATGGTATGTTGTCTACACAAGGGGTAGGCGCCTTGACCCTGAATGTTTGCTAAGGGTAGTAAGGTTTTCGATAATTCCCCCTACTTTTCCTTTTATTATTCCCCGTTCCGTAGGTGGTTGTGACTGTAGAGCAACGAAAAATTGCATCAACAGTACGCCCGTACGCAGTACCGAAATCTTGCTGCGGCGCAACCTCCACCAGCTGAACGTGAGCTAAGGATAATGCAGCGGTCGCCCGGTTCCTACCCAAGAGAAGTAGCAGTTCAAATTGCTGAAGTACCGCTGTTCACGGTGATGGTGATGTCGAACAGAAGGAACTTTCTTCTTGCGTAAACCAGAGCTATCAGAAGTGAGTGGTTGAGGTACATTGGCAACGATAGAGAACGTCAAGACCAGATTCTCGGCTTATTTCCAGCATCATTAGTTCCTGTAGGATCTTGTCGGAAGGGGATTAGTTCTGATGAGGCCACTAACGATTTGGATACACCAAATCGGCGGAAAATTTCGACTCAGCGTTCTAACAGGCGTAATAAAACTAAACAGTGGTTCATGATTTTCACCAAAAGAGGCCTTTCCTGGAAGAGTGCAACACATGAACTGGCATCGTATTTTGGATACCAAAGTGAGCTGGTTTTCTAAATCTCAAGGACCCACGCCATGAACAAATTAAGAGATTCCACTGAAGATGACTTTCCACCGAAACCACATAGCACGCCTAGAACAAAATTACTCAAGCTCCGAAATCCCATATACTAATCAGGCTCTTCAGGCACTGTGGACAAGCGCCTGTAAAAGCTTGCAACATAGTGCATTGGAGACGATCTGAGAAGAACATTATTCGTTCACTCCCTTCTCAGTGATATATGAAGCCGCAACTCACAATGATATTGCTTTCTGGGACTTGAAATATATATGATCAGGATGTTTCTGAATATCCGTAGCTCGGATTGATGATTCAATTGTTCGCCCGGTATGGCGATCTGGTTTCAGACATTTTGTTACCAAAAGGTGTCATCGTCAGTGCAGTTGGCGGTAGCTACATCCATATGAGACCAGCGTCCGATAGGGATGATAGTCTCAAGTTAGTGCAAACGTTTTATTCTCTTTCACAAAAATAAGAGGTGATGAACATGGGTGATAAGGGAGATGATGACTAACCTCAGTTGCCAGTGACTCCGAGCAAGGATTCTCCAAATGATTTAGTAAGGTTTGCAAAAACATCCGCTCGATCTCCTCGTTTGTGGACCGATCGCCTGACTGTTGAAGCGCTTGCAGAACACTCAGGTAAATTGGCATGGTGGAAGCGACTACAAAGGCGAGATGCAGAGAGGGGACAACTAGAGCAAAGAAGTGAGCAACAAGGAAAATGTGCTGCATCTTTACAAGCAGTTAGAATGTCCATTCGAAGTGTGCCGGAAAAAATTAGAAGGAACTAGCGGCCGGGAGGCCGATTGACGATTCGTTTGCATCCGACCGCACGATACAAGAGAACACTAGTATACGCAGTAAAAAGGAAATCAGGAATGCAGCATCAACAAAATCGCAAACCAAGGTTATTCGCGTCACCAGACACATTCCTAGCTTGTCTTCCCAACGCTCCCTCCCCTTAATCAATCAACAACACCACAATCACGTCATGAATGAAAAAGTGGATTATCGAGGCGGGACGAGCACTGCAAGGAACAAATACGCAAAGATAGAGAGGTAAGAATGAAGAATAATTTCCGAACCGTGAGTTGATAACCGCCTAAATATTGAGCAAACTAGTTATTGTAGCCGAATTCCATTACACGCAGTATAATCAGTAAAGAGGTTAGTTAAAATGCTTTGGAGTGACGCAGATGCATAAGCCCAGATCTTTTTCGTTAGACTCACCACGTGAACGTTTTCAGGCAACTGTGTCGTGTTATAATTATCGCTACTGCCGCGTAGCATAGTGGAGTTCTATCAAGAGCCTATGCTCCATCCGGCAGTACAACAGAAAGCCCCTGCGGGTATAGCGATGAACAAATAATGTCGTTAAACTAGGACCATACACAGTGACATACCGGTGAGCAACATCGGTTACCGAGTGATAAGCACGGATGAAATGCCCAAGTGACCGAGTTGGTTTAATAACAAAGGATCAGTGAACGTTTCTCATTCAACTCCACAAAATCTGAACGGTGCTGTCTCCTGTGTGGAATGCATTGCATTGATCTAGATGAAACCTAAGGCCGTTCGGCAACTAATGGTAGATTGGCGGCGGTTTAAAACGCACCTAGGGCCGTATTGCACAAAGATCCCACAAGGTTGGTATAACTGCTATTTCCCAAACATAAATTCACATGCCGAATTAGATACATTAATCAGCTGACCGGAATTATGACTCCGAAACAAGAACAGTGGTTTGCATCAAAGCATTTAAAGAGCAATTGAACTACATTGAATAATGCGTAGAAATGCATGTGATCTGATTCTCATCTGACAGAAGTAGGACAACAACCAACACTAAGGCATCCGAAATACGCGAAAGATGGGCATAGATGGAAATTTACATCATTAAATTTTCAGAGTAAGTACAAAAGATTACAGTGAGGAACACAAATTTTTGGAGGTCGATCGTAGCATCACTTTCGCTCTGAAGGGCATACTTAACGTTGTAGCGGTTCGTTCAACCCTCCCGTGCGGTTGTGAAAGCTAGCCCATCAGGCCGACAGACATAAAGAGGCTAACTACATTCGCTCATCGCCGGGCTTAGGTCCGAAGGAGGATGAACACCTTTGGTTGGACACACTTGTTGAGATGGCGAAGAGCCGGGTTCAATGGCGTCCGTGTTAAGAGTTTCTTTGTCCACCCCTCTCCTTTAGGTTCCCCCCCCCAATCACGATTTCATAGCAACTTAAAATGAGATGTAACAGTATATTACTCAGTGAACTTTTTGTACTGTGTTCTTTTTGTATTGCGGCACATTGGCTGAGATGTGTTTCTCACCCTCAGCTAACGTGTATTGATGATGATGGTGATGATGATGATGAGAACAGGCTGGATAAGATTGCCGCTAGGTAATTCGGAAATTGGGGTTATTGTAAACCGCGGTGCACAGTTGGTCACTGAGAAACATGGGAAAGGTAATAACCTCATTCCAGTTAGTCAAGTGTGTAATCTGTGGATCGATTCTTGCAGTCAAATTGTCACAGACCAACACATAGTAAAGAACATGGTGATTTAACCAGATCATAAAAATTTAGGGATCGATCTTAAGCTTATTACCACAGGCGCCGGAAAAATAGATCAGGTGGGCCAAATAGCAAACGAGGTCCGGGAAAAAGAATATACCAGATGGGGACGTTAGATGCATTGACACTGTTTATACACTGAGATAGCGACATGGGGTACCTTAGTTCAAGCCTAATAATAATGTTTACAACGCAATGACAGGAATGAATAGATATACTCAGTTTTGATGAAGATGATCACAATGGAGTAAACCTCTCGATGAACCCAACCTAGGCGCGAACCCGCTTCCCCCCTCCACTTTCTCTGATAGGACTATAATACCATAAAATAATTGCAGTATTAGTGGGTGATACAGCGCCTCTGGAGAGCAGCCGAATCTGCCGCATCTGACAGCAGTGCAAGACATTAGAGGATGGTCCACAATATGTCACAACTAGTGCCCCATCAGGAGATACGCTGCTGACACACATGACTCAGTGACTTAAGTAGCTGAGAGGCAAAAAAGAAAGTTTCGGATTCAAGGCCCGAAAATATCATCCAATGTGTGACAGCAGTAGCTGGCATTCTAGGTGAACGGAAACGAAACAAAGCTAGCGGCAGGAGGAAATATGCGCTGTCCATGTGAGTTGATCACCATTGTACCTGCCATAGTGGATTTACAAACACCACAAGCCACATCTAGTCCGCAGACGAGATGAAGCCGAATCGATCAGAACAACAGTAAGTGAACAGCATGTGCTCGCCAACCAGCCTAGGCTAACGACATGGCGTGCAGTGGCGCTTGTCCAACTGAGCGAGCGGAGCTCGAGGCCAAGGGACTGCGCATAAAGAGAATCAAGTGTCATTCATGCAACTTAACCAGAACTGTTGGGATTAGACGAAAGACACGAGATTACCGCTAATCAACAAGAACAAGGCATATCGCTGCCTAAGATTGGAACAGAATTGCGCAAGAGAGAGCACAAAGGACGAACTTATAAAGAAAAGCAAAATAAAACAGGTCGCATGGGATCCATCGCGAAGAGACTGGATCTTAATGTGGTGCGATGGTTTGTATACCTCAATGATCCATTGAGCTACGCAAAGTGGTGCTTTTCGCATCAGAGCCACTCATACCAGACTGGTCAATAGTTACACCAGATAAAGTCTCCTGGCCTTCCAGGTTAAGGATACCGGCCCGTAGCCTTAAGGATTACAAGTCTGCATTGTAATCCGAGAGCGCGAATTCGAGCCTGCGTAGGGACTGGGCGACCATCGTAGTATCCTAAACCCAGTGCAACTGGTGGTGATTGTGGAGCAGCGAAGCGTCGGTACTGCGGCCGGTGTACAACTGATACCATTTCTACCATGATACCAGGTTGGGGATTGGAGTGCGGGTGGCTACCCACTTTATAAAATGGACCATTTGTAGCCAATACCAAAGTCCCGCTGCCTTACAGCCAGGTTTATAAACCAAAGGATTTGGTTTAGAACCCTAATCGTAATCTGACTACTGTTTGGTTTGGCGGAGTTGTACGCCACTAGGCGCGTCCTTAGGTTGCGGATCGGGGAACGTCTTCCTTGCGAAGGTAATTGTGAATACGTCTCGCCTGTTCGCAGGCGAGATGAATAAACAGTCACGGACAATCAACAGCAGCGTCCCAGAGGGTTGGAGGTTCTGGACAGGTCACCTGGTTTCTCATTAAAAACAACAACAGCTCGTAAGACGATGTGCCAAAGCCAACGTGACCGGATAAAGGGTCCGTGACCACTCACTTCAAGTCACAAAAGTGAGTACTCAACGGAGGGCGGATGAATTACCTCGATGGCCACCGACTTCTGTGAAGGTGTAAAAGCCACCTGGCTGTCAACGGCCTTCATGCTCTTCGGCGAGTACGCAAGATCAGGAAATATCCCCTAGCCGTCGTACTACTTCACTTGGGCTTCTTGGACAGCCTATTGGAAAGCCGTGTTATCATCATTGTGGTAGCCGTTTCCGACGGTACGCGATATAAGTCAATCGCCCCGCTGCATTACCGATCAGGTCTTTAGATCAAAGACTCCGGGTGGGGTCCCCTAAGTCAACCCTCTTTCTCGGCCTGGGCAACCGGAAAGCTACGTGCCTACACAACATATGGATCAATGCTTCAACGACTTTCGACCCTCTCTACTCTGACAACGCTATCCTCGACCGAATAAAAGGGCGGCCGAACATGCTATACCACGCTCTACCGCACCCCAGTTTGTTTACTTTATTCTACGTTTGTTCAATTCCCACCATGTTTGATAATTCCCCTCCGGTTCCGAGTCCACAACATCGTGCCGCCTTGGGTAAGTGTTCTCGCCATACGGATCAGGAATTTGGGTCACAGTGTGTGTGTCCAAGTAGTACTGGCAAAACCTTTCTAGCGGCCCGTTCCCAATCCAGGCTGGTAACGTTTAACGTCTGGACGCTGATGCAGTTCGGATCACAAGCAGTCCTTGCTCATACGCTTGAGACTACTACCATTGATGTCTGTTGGCTCGCTGAAACCATAGCACGACGTTACGGCTGGTTTCGCCGTCCGCGAGTCCCGTTGGCATTTTCACACTGCGTTTATCTGGAGAGACAATCGCCGAAAACGCTGGTCTTGTCGGCGTGGGGATTCCGTTGAGTACACGTGCTGAGGATCCCTCTTAACGGTCGACTGTGCGCCATCCGACTTGAGACCACAGTGCGACTGTCCAGATGTGGAGCCAGAAGAGGTTGCCTGTTGGTCATAGCAACATATGCTCTGCACAGACTGCAGCCAGAGGTCAGTTAAAGACGAATCCTACTGTCAACTGTCCGACCTTCTGTTAGGAGAATAGTTATTTGACATTCATTTGTTATGAACAAGATTAATAGCCATTCTTTATTCTTCCTACTTTCTGCTTCTTGACTGTTGTTTAAACGCCCCACTGTGTTAGTCCGATTGGTACACACACCTCATGGTTAATGGACGCGCATCTTCGTGCCATCTTCAGCTGTGCTATTTGCAAGGACACATTCCACTGGATTTTCTCCGCAACACATTTCGACTTGGTTATGTTAAAGGAATATTTAGTTGTCACACAATTACTGTATTAG